GTATATAACGCCGTTTGAATCATACTTACATATATATGCATATATAACGCCGTTTGAATCATACTTCGGCCACTGTGGGCAAAATCATCATCGTATACCAGCTGATCAGGTGGTGGTGCGTATATAACGCCATAACCTTTCCCATATCCTATATACATACATATATACGCGTATATAACGCCGTTTGAATCATACTTCGGCCACTGTGGGCAACATCATCATCACATACCAGTTGATCAGGTGGTGGTGCGTATATAATGCCGTAACCTTTTCCCATTCGATATACATATATTTACGTATATACGCGTATATAACGCCATCTGGTCATGGGTCAATGCACATGAATGCAATGCATGAAAAGTACGCCAATAAAGTCATTCGGAAGGTCATAAGACCACTTTGCCTCTTGAGCAATATCATAAAGTAACATCTTTTCAGCTTTCGTATTTTTCTGAGACCCATGAACAAATGATAAAATATTATGACATATGAGAATTAAAGAACATAGATATTTCTATTACTTCTATNTGCCACGTGTAATTCCTATCCACTTATTGGTTAACTGGGTAATGTCTTGTTACCCGGTAATTAATCAATTACCCGCATAATTTAAAAGTTACCACAAATTATTTAAAGTATTACTCACTTTCCACATACCTTATATACCATACTAGCATGACCATGTAGTATCTTGTATGACACTAGTCCATAAATACCGGGTATTTTAGTTCGGGCTGTATTTTACCCCAAAATGCCAAATTTCGACAAAATTTATTTTCTCCGATATTACTTACCCTCTTACCTTCACAACACTTATTTATTGCTTGCTATAAATAACGTAAGTACGTTAACGTCAAGATGATCTCATCCCCGAGTCTTACATCGGTTAACTGAAAACGAAATTTTAACGTACAATACTTCAAGGTGAAACATCGTCGTAACTTAATACTGTGAAACGCGACATCATCGTAATGTAATACTGCTGGACGTGACATCTCACTTCCGGGCTCTCATTAATTTATTTATGGCGTACTTTCACGTACGAAAATATGGGGTGTAACAACATTGTTGAGGAGACAAGAATGATAGGCTGAAGACCTGTTGACACTCCTATGAATCCGAATTCTAAACTTCTACCAGGACAGGGGGAGCTACTTAGCGATCCTGCGAGATATAGGCGGCTGGTTGATAAATTAATTTACTTCACAGTGTCTAGACCTGACATTTCCTTTCTTGTGAGTATGGTGAGTCAGTTTATGGATTCGCCATGTGATAGTCATTAGGATGCAGTTGTCCGCATTCTTCGGTATATAAAATCGGCTCCAGGCAAAAGATTACTATTTGAAGATCGAGGCCATGAGCAAATTGTTGGATAATCAGATGTTGACCGGGCAGATCACCTTTTGATAGACGTTCTATTGGATATTGTATTTTAGTAGGAGGTATTTTGGTATCTTGGAAGAGCAAGAAACAGAATGTGGTTACTCAGTCTAGTGTAGGAGCAGAATATCGAACAATGGTTGTGGCAACATGTGAGCTAGTTTGGATCAAACATTTGCTCAAGAAGTTGAAATTTAGTGAGATCAGCAAGATGGAACTTGTATGTGATAATCAAGCTGCCCTTCATATCGCATCAAATCCTGTGTTCCATGAGAGAACTAAAGATTGACTCTCACTTCGTCAGAGAAAAGATATTCTCAGGAGATATTGCTACAAAGTTTGTGAAGTCGAATGATCAACTTGCAGATATTTTCACCAAGTCCACTGGTCCTCGTATTAGTTACATATGTAACTAGATCGGTACATATGATTTGTATGAACCGGCTTGAGGGTGAGTGTTAGATAGTTATGTAAAAAACCCTAGTCCCACATGGAATACGAGTAGAATATGTATTGTGTATAGTTATAAATAGGCTATTGTAAAACACTTAATGGAAGATAAATAATATTTTTCCCGTGCTTTCTCACACTTCTAACACAATTCCTCTTCTCAGAGGGGAATCTAACTATATGAAAATCACCAGCTAAAACCAGTGTTGTTAAAGACGCGCTTAAGCCCTGAAGCGAGGCTCAAAACACGTTGAGCGCTTCGCCTCGCTTTGTGGGCGCTTTAGTGTCGCATCAAAGCTCTAAGGCATACTTTTCCTTGCCAATGAATGTAATCTTGAAAAGACGATCTTAAACAATTGATATTTCACTTTATCGTTAATGTTTTTTCAATTTCTTTTTTCATATATTTGTTATTCATGCTTATAATGATTAGTCTAGGAGACTTCATGCATATTTTTACTTTTTCTCCCGTTGCGCCTTTTTTCATTAAAGCCCACGTTTTATTTGTGCTTTGCGCTTAAAGCCCCAATGGACCTTAGAGCTTTTTTGCGCTTTTCGCCTTTGATAACACTGGCTAAAACCCATGGTCCATTGAATAGTCCCCTAGCAGCCCCAATCTCCCACCACACCTCTTGCCTTTCTTTGTCACAGTTAGGGGCATAAACTCCTGTTAAGTTCCAATTAAGGTCTTGCAGTTGAGAAACAAATTTGCAGGTTAGGGTAAATGCTCCAGTAGCCACAATCTTCCCCTCCCAAACTTTGCTGTCCCACATAATTAGGATACCCCCTCTAGTTCCACCAGGCTCCAATTGTGCAAATTTGACTCTCCTATTCCCCCATAATTGTTTGACTTTATCTGTAATATCCCCTACTAATTTTGTCTCTTGAAAACAAAAAATATCAGCCTTCCATTTAAGGATCAGGTTGTTTATCACCCTTCTCCTATCCATGTGGTTCAGCCCCCTCACATTCCATGATAGAATTTAATATTCATTAATCCACATTGATCTCTTCTCTCCCTCTGTTTTTGGTTCCATTACTTTTGAATTTCATGTCAATAACCAGCCCTTTCAATTCTTGCATGCCTTTCTTTTTAGGAGTAGCAGCAATTGAAAATTATGCCTTGTGTCTCTTTACTTGCCTACTGTTGTCGATTTTCATGAACATGCCATTGCCTCCTTTTCGCACCCCTGGAAATCAATCCCAAATTGCTTGCTTAGTTTGATCACATTCTGATAGACCCATAATGATGTGTCCAGTTCCCCTCTATCTCCTCCCCTGTTGTGTGTATTTTTAGAGGTTCAGCTTCCTCAACCTGCCAGATGTCTATTTCTGCTGTCTTCATTATTTGCATGCCCCTACTTATAAATATGTATTGTATTGAGTCAGTGTATGTATACAAATATACCATCATACTTGACATCTTGAAAAAAGATTATATAATGATAACATTCTTTCATCGAATATTTCGTTAGTTATAGAAACAATTGTTTCATGTTCTTCTAACTAGTGAAAAAATGTATAGCATGGTAGAAAAGGTCAACATTTGGGCTCTTGCTAGAATAGGAAGCATATTTTGGAAATCGGATGGGAGGAGTATTGTCTTCAGAGATTGAATGAGTTGTTTCCTTCCTCTTGGACGAGAGCACAACCTAAATGTTGAGATGCTTGCTATGCATGGCTCTTCCCTCCGTCACCACCTTGCTCAATTTTTTTCTTCATCCTTCCATATTGTTCTTCTGCTTATTGATCTTGCAAATCTTCATTTTTTCCATGTAGAGCAGTGAGGCTTGCTTGATATCTGTATAACCACTGATGTAGTACACTTTGAAATGCAGTATGCTCGTCAACATCTGCTTGATTTCATGTTTCGACATGGGCATTACAAGGATGCTTGCTTGTTATTTTTCCCTCCCAATTCTGTTCCTCCACCTCCTCAACCATCTTCAGGCGTTGTTACTTCATCTTCTTCCCCTCAACGACAAGATCCTTTGGCAACAGATTATGGGACCCTTGATCTATTGTGTGATTTGTGCACTGCTTATGGAGCCATGCCTGTTTTGGAGGAAGTACTGTCAGGAAGAACTTCAAATATAACATCGCAGGATCCATCGGTGAACAAACATACAACTGCAGCACTTTCTCGCATCTGTAATTATTGCGAAACTCACAAGCATTTCAATTATTTATACAAGTTTCAGGTATTATTCATTATCTTTTGCTTTGAACTCTTTCATTTGGAAATATGAAGTAAATGGTGACCCTGTTGTCGAGGCTGATGTTAAATTTCTTTACATGTGCCTCTGGAATTATAGACCTTTAATTGATGTAGATAAAATTAACAGGCTAGTGAAATGAATCCATTTCATCAGATACACTTGACGAAAGATTGACTAAGAGTGGACTGCCTCTCTGATCTGACTTATTAGGCTGTAACCCAGTTTTAAGAAATGCTTCAGCTTTTAAGCAAAAACATTTTTGCTAATTTCTTTAGATTTCATGTATAGGTTCCGGTAGTGCTGGTTTCTTAGTTTAGGTGCTTTGGTAAACCTCAAGAAGCTCAATCTTTCTGTTTCTCCACAAGCTTTACTCCAGAATTTGATCGTATTCTCTGATAGGTTGCCCTAGTCGATTTGCTTCCATTTTCTGTATATACTAATGCCATATGTCCGTCCTGTGTATTTTAAAATTGCATGATGATCAGGTAACAAAGAAGGATCATGTGGCAGCTGGGCTTTGTTGCATACAATTGTTTATGAATTCTACTTCTCAAGAAGAAGCTATAAGACACTTGGAGAATGCCAAGGTCAGTCCATTTTAAGAATTTGTTCTGCTGCACATCTGCTTTATAGATGGTGTTTATGGTCATCAATGAATTATTGGTTTTACTAAGCGCAGGAGCTGTGCTCTCTTTTCTCTGTCCTAGTTGTCAAACCAAGTTTAGATGCTTAGGGAAGCCAAAAAATACTGGCAAGGTGCTATTTTATAAGCAGCGTGCTTCTAATGCAAGGAATGCAGACCTGAATAATGGCTGGTTACTCCTTGAATTGGACCATTCTTGAAATAGAATTCCTAATTTTTTTACTATATTTGCAACTTCGAGATTCAAAATTTATATGTGAAAAATGATAATTCTTAATTGATGGAATCAATTGAAGCACTTATTTGTTAGTTCTAAATATAGCAGACAGTTTCATTGGTCTAATTTGGGACCTTAGAATGGATTTTGACTCTATATGACAAACATATCAAGAAAAAGAATAAGAAAGCGTCCATAGATTTATTTGTGCCCTCTGAAGAGTTGTATGAGGTGAACGTTTCACATATGGTTATGTGATAGCGATGGATGCAGTGATGCTATCATAGACTATGATTATCTAACAGTTAAAGTATAGTTGATATAGCGGAATGTCAAAATATGATTTGGTGGTGAAATTTGCCTGAAATTCTAGGATAGTCGCAAAAAATCCGGCTTAATTTATTTCCTTATGTTTTGACACTTATATTTCCACAGAAAGACCTTATCAGGATCCTAATAATATCTAATTGCGTATATAAAAAATTGGTTAATAATGAATTCTTATTAGGAATGAATTTATGAAAATTCTTGTAGCAAAAAGTTGATTGCTTGGTCAAATAAAATATGTGTCTGTTGTATGTGTGTATATATAGTTATTTATTATATTATTTGTATATTACATTAATTAGAGTGTATTAGTTTTTATGTCAGATAAGTTAGTATCAGCAATATGGTCTTACTAAGACTTCTTTAGAAAAATCTTATCCGCCTATATCTTATCTCTATAGTATATCTGTATCTATATTATATAAAAGCAGAAATTACATGGATATAAATAAGTATAGATTATGGTATTTATACATCAGCCGAACAAAAAATTGTATATATGCATGGGTAAGTAGTTTGAGATGATTGATGCTCAACATAGATGACACAGGATATATATAACCTGACAGTTCACTGGCACCTCAATTGCTTTGTAAACATATTTCTTCTTCTTGTGAATTATCACAAATTGTTTTCTCTTTTGCTATTTCTTTATTGCATTTCCAGCAGATATGCTGTTTCCATATTCTTTATCTGCATCTTTTGATCATCCCCTCTTTCCCTATGCAAGGATTGCTTTCACCTTCTGTGGGGTTTTAGTTGCTAACTTGTGCTGTAACTCCTGTGTGGTCTGCTTATTCTTCATTTGTGATGTAGATGCATTTTGAGGAAGGCTTGTCAGCGCGACATAAAGCAGGAGAGTCTACTAAGCTTATTACCAAGGGCATCCGAGGAAAAAGTGCNCCCTCTTTCCCTATGCAAGGATTGCTTTCACCTTCTGTGGGGTTTTAGTTGCTAACTTGTGCTGTAACTCCTGTGTGGTCTGCTTATTCTTCATTTGTGATGTAGATGCATTTTGAGGAAGGCTTGTCAGCGCGACATAAAGCAGGAGAGTCTACTAAGCTTATT